TTTATTATTTTCAAATCAAATAGTAACCATAAACCACGCAGAACTATGTTTACATTATTTTAACGCACGAATTGTTTTAATCAATCAATCAGATATGTTGTAACCTGGCTGATAAGCCTTAAAGTCAATTGTAACGGCTCGTTATTTTACATCTTACTAGTATTATAAATGCGAATGTTTAAATTGATGGTTTGTTTGAAGGTATCTACAGAATGGCTCAACGGGTCTTGATGAAATTTGGCATGGATGTAGATCACAGTCTGAAAGACTAGCCTAGATCTTCATGGGCTACAAATTAAGTTTTTTTTAATTCCGCGCGGATGGAGTTGCGGATGGGATGACAGCTAGTAGGTAGTAAAATTTTGCATTTATGGCACAGCGGTTAAGCAATCGCCTCTCAATCTAGAAATCGGGATTCGATACCCAATATGTACGAATGAGTTTAATTTAAAAAGTTTTATATATACATTTATTCTATTCGATACATCCAATAAACTCCATATATTTGAGAAGATAGTCAAAGATACATTTGAATTCAACCTCCTGTAACTTGTCGCAGACTCTTGCCTCTCGGATCGCCAAATAAGTCGCTATACAGCATCAGTACCATCAGCGCTTGTACATATCATTATATTTGTAAATTACTGAATCACGATACACAAGAGGCTTGTCAAGTGATAAACATTATATCAACGTTTGATTACTACCAATAAAGATATCACGTTTATTGTCACTTTTTTCTCTATATTTAAAACAGGGTCACCTCGAGATGTATTTGGAGTTCGATTTTCAAAAGTTATTATTTCAGGAGTTAGAGTTTTAGCGGTTGAATGGATTACATCAAATAAGGTTGGCCTAAATCTTTTCAATGGTTATGTTATAAGTTTGACTTATTTTGGTTTGACTAGACATAACTTAAAAGTTACATATGAATTTTATCGAATTGTACACTGTTTATATATAGTTGTTATGATTGAAATTAATGTACAATACGCATATATAAATAACTGAACTGATTGATTGGGCCCTGATCAGAAGTAGGTCAATTTATTTGCTAATAATAAAGTCATAGAAGATTGAACTGATATAAACAAGTACATGTAGTATGTCACGTGTATTTTTAATAGTTATTGGCATCATACATCATTGTTGAACTAGTTGGTATCAACTTTTAATTTAATTTTCAAGTTTATGCTGTAAAAAAAAATCCAAAAAATCTTTTATCACTTTAGTTCTTTACATTTTTGTAGGATAAATTTGGAATCTCATCTTCGTGTTTTTTTTTATTGTTCGCCTATTATATGAAGTAGTAAATAGCAACCAAAATTAGTTTTTTTATTTTTTTTAGTACATTTTAATAACTTACTAAAGTAACACACCCACGTCTCCCCGAATAAATGAAAAGAATATTGAATATTCTAATAATGTCGATTCAATCAGAAGTTCAAGGTAATTTTACAATAGTAGCCTCCCAACAAACATGTTTACTCAGAGCCATTACATAATTTTCTATGTAGATTGACATTATTACGTAGAAAAGTATGCTACGGTCAAAATGAAAATGTAACACTCCTGTTTTTTTTTTCTATTGACAGGAAAAAAAAATTGTTTCATTAATTTCATCTATACTAAATTTATAGAAAAGAAAGATTTTTTTGTTTGTTTGTTTACACTAAATAGGCCCAGAAACTGCTTAATCTTATAAACTCTCTCACTATTGGGAAGCTACAGTTTGGATGTAATACCGGGGGATATAAGCTTAATAACATTTATTACTAGATTTTATTTAATTCCGCGCGTAAGAAGTCGAGGGCAACTGCTAGTTATAAATAGCTATTAATAATAGAAAATGAAATCAATGATTAAGACCTTAAACAGTTCATCATAAAAGAAAATAAAATTTTATCCCAAATATATATATCTTAAGTTTTTTTCTGATATTCCTTTAAACGACGCTAAACAAATAAAACACAATGATACCCTTACACGTATTTGAGTAAGTCCGTAAGTATTTAAAATTAAAATCTTAATTTGAAACCACTTTTAAAGCAACAATGTAACCGTATCTATTGTTAAATGGGTTCATCTACTTTTCTTTTAAACTACAATAAGGAAATGCCAATTTTAATTATCTATATTAACATCTTTTATAATATTTCTCAAGGCAACCGAGAAACTATTAGTTATATCTTTTACAGTAAATGATCAACTTTAGTTTGTCTCGACAACTTACAATATGACTAAATTAGTAGTTGCACGGTATCATTTATTTTTGCACGATATCCACTTCAGCGGGCGAGTAGATGCTCTTCAGGCACGTCGCAAGAGTGACAAACTTCTGGTTAATTTGTTTACAGAAAATTCGCAGGTATTTTTTTATCTTTTATTTTTACTGCTTGATATTAATTAAAATATTTTATAACTTTAATTAATATTATATTTTTATTTAGTACAACTTTAAAATTGTTAGTTAAATTCTGTAAACTTTAATGAAAGCGATATTGACTGATTTTTTTTTAATCACTACTTTAAAATATAAGAATTCTTCATTGTATTTATTTTTCGTGACCAATTTCTGAAGTAAAAAGTGAATAAAAATACAGAATTGTCTGACTGATTTGATTAATTTCTTGTATCTAATCTTACTTCTTATCTTACTAATATTATAAATGCGAATCTTTGGATGGATGCATTTTGTTGCATGGATCACGCTGAAATTTGGCTTAGATGTAGAACATAGTCTGGAAGAACACATAGGCTATTAAAATATTTTTTTTATTTCGGGCGGACGTAGTCGCGGGCGACAGCTAGTGGAATTATAAATTTTAATATGCTATATACATGCGTAATTTTCTATTCCAAGTTTTGGCAGACAAATCATGTCAAACAAAATGAATTGAAACGTAGGCATTAAAAGGTTCAATTATCCATTTTACGACAATGACCCTTATCATCAGACCCTTGTCAACGCGTATTGACTGGGGCTCGGACCCAGTGGTGTGGTCTAATCACCGTTTAGATTTTCATTAAACAAATTATAATATAAAAATTAAAAAATATACATAGAGATTAATAGAATAGTTGTATCTTACAGTGGGTTTCCAAGTCGAAAAACTCTGTATAAGACATCATCCCTTTGATTATCCCTTACAAATCAGATATAACAATATGTTTTAATATAGATTTTGGACTCAGAAAGCCATGATTAATGATATGTAAATAGTACTTGATACATTTTTAATCTTTTGTTATCTAAGCAAACTTAATTTAAAAAAAATGTAAAGATGCAAAAACAAATGACAGCGGTACACCTTCTGAATGTGTACAGTTTTCTTTTCCATCATCATTAATAATAAGTTAATTCAAGAAGCGAACATACCATTTCCTTAAATGTCGGCAATGCATCTGCGGTTCCTCTGGTGTTGCTGATGTCCATGGGTGTCGTTGATCACCTCGGTGTTCCCGCCGCTCGTTTACCCCTTCTCTTATAAAAAAAAATAATACTAATGTTCGGATAAATTTGAAACGATTTTACGGAAACTACGTTTGTTTGAAAAATCCTCGAATACTGCTAACATATTTATGAGTTGCAAAATGGTGACGGGGAGGGTGGCAGTAAATTTGAAAAATTTATGCACTCGCGTCCAGTCAATTGCATAATGGCCGTCCGGCGATCAACATCTGAAATTGAAGTCGAAATTTAATTTTCGATTACCACAACGAGTGAACAAAATTCATATTTATCCTTTATTGAAACTTACAGTTTAACTAATCAAATATACTACTATTATACTAGCTGTCGACCGCGACTCCGTCTGCGCGGTATTAAAAAAAGCTTTATTAGTAAGTGTTCTTCCAGACTAAGTTCTACATCTATGCCAAATTTCAGCGAGATCCATGAAGCCGATTTGGACATACCTACAAACAAACATCCATCCATCCAAACATTCGCATTTAGAATATTATTAATAAGTATGATAGTAAGATTGTGAGATATGTATGAAGGACATAGTCTGGAAGAACACATAGGCTACTTATTATTTTTTAAATTCCGCGCGGAAGTCGCGGGCAACAGCTAGTAGTCAATAAAAAGTTCGTTTGCTTTTCAACATAGTTACATATATTATACCATCAATAACTCTGAAATCCGATCAAACGCTTAACGGTAATAAACACTCCTAAAGAGAAACGAAAAAATAAGATTACGTCGAAGCAAATACAAATATTTAACAAATAAACAAATCTTCAATTCATTCTTTATTTGTTTTACTTTAAGCAGATAACTAAAGATTTTTCAAACAGCGAGTCCATTAATCCAGTCGTTAAAGAATAATTTTCTTATCTCCAGCCTTAATTCTTGGAGACAACAAAAATATTTCTCGCTGTAACTGAGTTGCGTAACAATACAACTTTGACATAATAATTTTATCTAAAGAAAATTTATCTCTCATGTTTTTTCTTTTTATTATTACCTAACTGATTAGTGCGTAATATTTTTCGTGTTTAAGTTTTTTATATGTGTGAGTTTGTATGTATGTATATTTGTGACGAACTAATGCCTAAAGACGTGTACCGATTTCAACGAGTGAGGTATCGGTTTTCAGTCATATCGGTAAAGTCGTTCTTGAGTTATAATAGTGTAACTAACACGACTTCTTATATATTATTCTCGTGTCACAATTTTCGTTCCCATACTCCTCCGAAACGGCTTGACCGATTCCCATGAAATTTTGTGAGCATATTGAGTAGGTCTGAGAATCGGCTACTATCTATTTTTAATTCCGCGCGGACGGAGTCGCGGGCGACAGCTAGTTCTTTTATATATATATAGATAATGAAATATGAAAAGTATATTTTTTCAACTCTGTCAGAATTGTATTCCAACTGCCAACGGTATAAAGACTTTTTACACATAAATAAATAAGCCAGCATGAATAAAGAAGTAAAATAATGTCAATAAATTATAAATTGTGACATTTAAAAATCAAAAGACATTCGTATCAAAATTTTAAAAGTATATTCAATAAATATGATATAGAAATATTTCGATTTTTGGCAATGGCATTTTAAATTGTATGTGAAGTCACAGTGCGAAAGGAAAACCTACTGGGTTTGCAAAACCCATTTAGAAAATCCATTAGTGTAAGTATTCTAATACATAAAGGCATAAATAAATATCATATAGTCGTCAGTTACAGGTTTTTCTTTTAATACAGTGCACCATTATCATTTATATTTTACCAATTTTCTACGTTCCTAACAAAGATTTAGGTTAAATTACCGTGTACTGAGGCGCCTGAGAGATATACCAGACGCGGGCCGAACACACTAGCGTGGACTAATTAGTCACTACTCTGATCAACCGTTATACTTCAGGACATAAAAGTTGACCCTCATGATAGTAATTGCCTACAATTTCTTGCATAATATAATTATTTAATATAGAGTATTTTATTGTTTAGCTTTGTTGAAAGAATTAGTTCTACTCTCGTGTCTTATATTATACTAAACCAAATATTTTTCTTTTGTTTCAGACATGCTACAAAAATACAGAAGGATGAAGTTTATGTCGTTATTCTTATTCCAAGTGATCCTTATGGTCTTGTACTTCGTTTTTGTGAAGTATGGAGGTGAAAAGGACTATGACGTTAAAGGTATGAATATTGAATAAATTATTGCATGTTTCACCACAGCCATCTTAAAAATCTAAATCAACGAAATAAAAACTGTTTATTTTATATTACTCTAATGTTTTCACTATTGAGGCATTCGTACACGAGGCATCGTAAATAGTTGAAGGCGATTTTAGTCGCTAAGACTTACGTTGTACAATATCCTACAAGTTTAGTAGTAGTAGAAATATACTGAGTTTCGCCTCCAAACCCAGTCATTCGTTACCTATTTGTCAAGATCGAAAACAAGTTTACACGCACAGTTGAGGACTGTGTTGCGGTTACAATAGTGAAACTGGCGCGTAACGTACACTTTTGAATCATCCTGTGGTTGACTTTGACACATTAATGTTTTAACGAAGTTTTATTTAACGTTGATTTTTAACACGTTGAGCGCCACGTCAGCCATCGGTGGTTGACACTAGACTTTCGGTTTAGGCCGCGTCAGCCATCGGTATATATACTACCATAACCATAAAACATAACAATATATTCAATTTATAAACCTTGAAATACATTTAAGTAGTGGGAAACCAAGATCGAAAATTAAAAATTGAGGAATTAAATTAATTATAAAAAAATGGTAAACTCCAGAAAGATATTACTTACTTAATCTGACAATGTCAAAAAATCCGTCAAAGTTGAGGAAAATACACATTTCATTGAGAGCTATTAGTACTGTCAATTTCTATTGAACCTTATGAATATGTCAGACTTAGATATAAAAACGGATCTTCTGTCTCTATGAGGAAACGTATCAAAGGAACTCATCTACAGAATATTACTAATTAGTGTAACAAGCACGTCTTTGTAATTAATTTAATTCCTATTAATTATTAACATTAATGATATAAGGTGAAGGTGAGCGTGACATCCTCCTGATGTGACGTCAGAGCGATATGTAATACGATACTAATGAATGGAACGCGTAACCAATTATAATTGATTCGGAGAAATTATTAAGCTCTAATTAAATATGATCAATTATTTATTTATTTAATTAAGTAAATAAGCTTCATATATTGAAGCTATCTTGTGGTTTAAGATTTTTTTGATTGGTTTAGTATTCCTTGAAGTTGTATATTTATTTTTAAAACCCTAGTTCACAAAAGTGAACTGTTCATTTAAAATATAATATTTTATCTTACTAATATTATAAATGCATAAGTTTAGATGGATTGATATTTGTTAGGGTATCTTTAAAACGGCTGAATGTATCTCGCTGAAATTTGGCATAGACGTAGAACATAGCCTGGAAGAACTTATAGGCTACTTAATTCGTTTTTTTTTATTTCGCATGGATGAAGTTGGGGGCGGTAGCTATTTTTATAAAAAAAGAACACCTTGTTATCCATGTTTCGCAGAAGGCATTGCGATTTACTTGTGTTGTATTAGAAGAATAATAAGATTTGCGTGAAATTCAATACCACCATTCTTACAGAGTAGTTTTGAGACTCAATTCCCCTCATAGGATCCGATTGTACGGAATTGAACCGTATCCGATACTGTACATTAATTTTACGTAGCCGAGATTGACCCCCAGTGGGGAGCGGATTCCGTTGTCATTCTCACGGCCAATTTAAACGCCGTTAGCTCGAGATGAGCCAATCAACGCGATGCTTATGTTAAACGTACCATAGTGACGAGCGGAGCGAGTACTCCCAAAAATAAATAATAAATTTTACTAAAAATTTTCAGACGCGTTACCTAATTATTAACTCATCTTAAGATGTTGTACAAAACTGTAATATAATTTTTTTTTACATTACATTTCTATTATTGCCAGCATTAGATTTAACGCGTAAGACTTCGCTCAGTCGCCATTACAGTGAAGTGCATGAACACAGAGCTTATTTATTTTGTAACATGTGCTCCAATGAGCTTTTACTATATTTTAGAATGGATATAGAGAAAGTTCAGTGAACTGGAAACCATTACATGATATTCTCATAAATGGAGTACATTGGACGGAAATTTTAGCTAATGAGTTGACTGTAATCAAAATGATGATTTAGAATTAATTAAACAAAAGAACACGTATGAAATGTAGTGAAAATGTCTTAGTTGTTGGAGTTTTTAACTGATTTGAAAAGGAGGAGGTTCTCAATTCGTCTGTATGTTTTATTTGCCTCTTTCAGTTCAATTATCTTAAACGTAAAACTTTATACAGTTTTAAAATCGATCTAAGTAAATGACGTGTGTGGTTACACTTTGTGTAATAATTCGGGAAAATTAGGTACGAATTGATAACTTTCTCCTTTTAAAATTGTCTAAAAGTGTCAAAAGTCTTAATAATTTTTAAACAGACTTGTTGGGATTTTTTTTTTTTGGAAATTTAAACGCTAAAGTTATCACTGCAGTAGCTGGTGTTAGCGTAAACATCCCCTCCTCCGCCCCATTCCCCCCGCTTAATTGAAATGCACCAAGAAGCAACGAGCACTTTTAGAGATCACAAGTTCCGCCCAGTTTTCCTATACGCGCTGAATTCAGGTCAGAGGATAGAATTTTAATTAAGGGCTGCCAAAATTAAATGACATATTTTCATACAATTGAGAATTAAACTTGATAGTGGAATATTTTTTATATTTTAAGGCGGCAAATGAGCAAGCCACCTATCACCGTAACAGCGAAGCGACCGCTGCCCATAGACATATGTAGTTACAGATGCTTTGCCTACCTTTAATGATGGGGACGCACAGGAAGATTCGTTCTAGTTTAAATAAGTCGCTACAAATCCTTTGCTAATGTAAAACTTTCTAAAGTAACTAGCGGACCCGACAGACGTTGTCCTGTCTACACGTCTTTAATTTAAATAAATTAATATGAAGTTAATATTTGATGAAAATTGTGAATCTAAACCATTCCCAGATCCCCTTGAACACACACAAAAAATTTCACCAAAATCGGTCCAGTCTTTTGAGAGAAGTTCAGTGACATACACACTCACAGAAGAATTATATATAAAGATGTAGAGAAAGTTATATAAATAATCAAAAACACATTGGCCGTATACTTCTTTGGATGCAATACTGCTAGTGTTGCATTGATTTTTTTTTTTAAATATTGTATTATCATTTAATTACAACTTGACATCTTTACGAGTACCAAGTTAGTATAGAAAGATGTATGAACTTCTGCAATTCAGTTAAAAATATTTTAATTAAATTGTCAACCCTAGAACTAGACTGTGGTTGACACAGCCCTATAGAAATATTCATCTATAATTTACACACATTCAAAAGCCAGGAGAGCTATAATTTGCGTTTTTTATATTCCAAATTGGATGCATACAATGCAAGCGGTCGCAGATTATAAATTGTAGAGATAAAATTGTTGTTTTTAATTCTTAAAATGAGATATACTGATGTAAAAAAACTCAAGTCTCTACCATCCTGTGGTATCAGTGTGCTCCCGGCGTTCTCCTAGTGAATTTTAATATTTTATTATAAAAGCAAAAAATACAAAATTCCATCATAATAACGTAGTTTTGTTATTGTGTAATTAATTATAAAATTAGTTTAGATTTTTAGCATATTTGAAAGATAACCTAGTTAGAACATGACAGGGTTAAAAGAAAATAGATTTATGTTTTGTTCTACTTTTTGCCCGTCTGAGAGGAGGGTAATTTTTGTCCGTTCCATTGTAACCTTAGTTCGATGTTTTTATAAGGTCTGTTGGTCTAGCTAGTTGATTTTTAATAATTAATTACTATTTATATATTTTTTGGAATGTATTTTTACTTTATAGGTGACCAAATTATCAGGGCTACCTTAACTGGGTCAATACTATAACGGTGACGTAAGTTATTAATTAAGGTTTCGATACCCAATGATTACGGTGAAATTTACTGGAAAGGTCTCGTTCCATTGAAGTTTAATCTGTTCACATATTAGCAAAGATTACGGTTGACGTATTTTGAGTTGTCATTTGTTTATTTAACCGGCCTTTTCCACTGAGGAAATACCCGTACTAGTGTGTTGTGTCGCTGCGTAGTTTTACACAGGTTTTAAGAGTCATGCCTCATTTATACGTTGCGTCTCAACGGACTGACGGACGAGAAACAAAGCGATGGGAGGGCGATACGCAGCTTCGTCGGAGCTTCGGTGTGACGATAGACAGTGCTACATTAGGAAGCTACATAAGGATGGCTCACGTTGCGGGATGGTGCGTTGTCATAACGCAGATGGGACATACAATACGGTGGTACGTTGCGACAATGCAACGCAACGTGAAACTCACTTGATGTAATTAGATAAAAATAAAATAAAGTATGGTAGTAAAATTTCTATTTTTGTACTATTAATTTCTCTCTTACTATAAATTGTTCCTTGAAGTTAATAGGATTAATGTATATCTTGAATTGTTGTAGTGGAAACAACTGAGTACGTTGAGATTGTGGATAGACCGTCTACAAAGCTACGAAGTTCGTAGCACGTTAATTATGCATGTAGCCCGTAGCAAAGTAGCTTTGTAATCCTGTTTGTGAACTTATAGTATACGTCCGATGTATTGACTTGGCTCTTTGTTTGACATGTTCATTAACAAAGCGATTATATAGAGTAAAATTTCTATTTATACATTTCTTACGTAGATTGTCTACAATCCTCTACGTAAATCGTAGACTTTACGTTTTTTTTTCAACAAAATCTTAGTTTCTTACTCAAATTAAATTAAAATTAAGAGCATTGAGCTCAATTTTAAAAGAATGTTGATATAAAATTTTAAGACGTAATGTCGTCTTTGAAATTTTTTTTTCGTGGTCCACTGAAATCGTTTAAAAGAAGTTTGTATATAAAGAGTAAAGAGGTCAGGTCGTATTTCAGCTTTGATCTTACTGCTGGGTAAAGTATTGTATGTGACATATTAATTTTAGCAACTATATTTGAAAGAAAAACAAAACAAGACTCTTTGGAGTAGTTATCTTATGAAACTAACCATCGAATTCGAATTTGGAATTGAAAGCAAAATAAAAAAAAATATATAGATTATTTAAGACCTTGTTGTTATGAATTTAAATTTATTTCTCATACATAAATTATGCATTTCTACCAATACAACCTTATCGTCTACAATCTTACCAGATTAAGCGATCTAACCGTGGATTCCTGAGACCGAAATGAATCCAGACATTATTATAACAGAGGTTGTTACCTCTGTTCTGTAAAAGATAATAACAAATATAACGATATGTTTTATACACAGATTTTGGCCTTAGAAACCCACGGTAATTGATGCTATACAGTTCACTTAATCGATCTCACCTCAAATTACTTCGACACTAATACAAAGTCTTTCGGGATTAATACGTTTCCACGTGGATCGACCTTATCCCTCATTCGATCATTCATCCCCTTTAATAACATCTGGCCCGATGAAATTACCCCGTACGGCACAGGGAAGATATATCCCCTGTAATAAGGGACGATTGTTCCGTCTAAGCCGATCTTCAGAACGCGTATTGGTAACAATTGTGACAGTCGCGAATCTAATTAGTATTTATCGTACTTTCCGACTTCATATTTGAAAGGATTCACTTCAAGGTGTAGTTTAAAATATAATTTAACTAGTGGAGAGGTTTTTAATTAAAGCACGTTTTAAATGTACTCTCTAGGTTTAGGTTTTTTGGTTTTGAATGGGAAAACTTTTATAAAGAAACGATTAGAAAATGAAAAGAATTAAAAAATAAATAATTAGTAGTCTATGTGTTCTTCCAAGCTATGTTCATAATATAAATTTCATGTATTAAGGAATTTCTAAAAATGCCTATGATTCTACAATATTCGGTCAAAATCTCTGAAAGTTACCAGTGATTTTCAAACAAGAGATTAGTTTAATTTTTTGATACATCCTTTTTGATTCTGTTACAGGATTCGAAGGCACACATGTAATGATATTTATTGGTTTCGGATTTCTTATGACCTTTTTGAAGAAATACTGCTACAGCGGAGTTGGGTTTAACCTTTTCCTCGCTGCTCTTATAATACAATGGGCACTGCTCTGCCAGTCGTGGTATCATATGGAAGATAAATTTATTTACATCACAAAGATGACAATACTCGGTAAGTATTATTTCTCTATTTCTTTGATTGATTGATTTTAAAGTGTGAGATTTTATACCACTTTAATCAAAGGTTTTTTTTTACTTTTTTTTAATTAACAGTAAAAATTCTATAGTAGTATATTATAGGGTATTTTAGTAAATATCTGCTAGATAGCATTTAGTATAAAGAATATCAGTTCTGTCTTAAACGTGGTAAGAACTAAAATAAAAAAAAAAGATATAGAACTTTGAGATATATTTGCAACACTTTTAGTGCTACTATAATTTCACTTAAAAAGGTCATAGGGTAAAATTGTGGCAGTTAATGTGTTATTTTTAAATATTTTTTATATTTCATTAGTATTTTTTAGGCATTATTAGTTAGAATCCTTTGGCGCGAATGGCGCGCTTTCAAGTGTCAGAATTATTAGTGAGGGGACATAAACGTGGACAATTTTAGTAAGCCTAGTGTTGTGCCAGTACACCGGCACAGTGTCGGATTTACTTCGTAACAGTATTAATATATATTCGTAATATGTACAGAAGCTGACATTATGGCGGCGACGATATTGATCACATTTGGTGCTCTTCTCGGTATCACATCGGTGAACCAATTACTATTTATAGCTATTATTGAGACTGTGTTTGCGTGCTTCAACCTTTGGCTCATTACATCAAAGTTTAAGGTAAGTACATCTAGCCGATAATTTCTGAGCTTAAAAGCTCCGTATAAAACATATCGTCATTCCTGTCATAATCTTTGATAAGGCAGAACAATGTTTTAAACGAGGGTTTTGGTCTCAGAAACCTACGATAAGTCGCATATTCACAAAATAAAATTGGATTTATTCTGTAAGGATGACATGTTGTTGAAAATTAAGTAAACCACTACTACTATTAAAGTACATTTTTATAAAAGTATTGGCATTATTTATGTGTCAAATTATATAAAAATACTTACGTCATATTTTTTTCATAGGATTTTTTACTAACAGAGTATTTTTGGCACTTTGCAGGCAACGGACGTCGGCGGTTCATTGGCTATACACACGTTTGGTGCATACTTTGGCCTTGCTGCGAGTTGGGCAATGGCTTACGGCCGCAAAAAAAAGAGCGATCAACCGAATCAATTGAACAAGCCAATTTATTCTACCGACATGACAGCTATGATAGGTACTGCATAAGTTTGCCTGATTGATAAGAGGTTTTTTTTTAACATAATAAGTTGGCAAACTAGCAAGTGGCCACATAGAGTCGCCGAAATGGCGAAGCGACCGCCGCCCATAGACATCAGCAATTGCAAATGCATTGGCCTTTTATATTTCATGAAGGGGGACGCATCCAAAGAGATTAATACCCACGCCCCTTCTCATTCTTTTCTCAAAAGAAACGGATGGGAAGGATAAGAGGACTAAATTTAGGCCTCCAGGATCAAAATTACGGTTTTTTCTTTACGCTTGTAATTTGCTTTGCTTTTGCTTTGAATTTACATTCCGCTTAGACTGCCTATAACCAAAAACGTTGGACTGTGAATTATATTTTGTTGAGTTAAGTGTTATTAGATTTAGATTTGTATTCTTCCTCTAAATATTTGGTGACGTGAGTCAGACGGTTGTATTGATATTATTATATTAATCTTACTAATATTATAAATGCGAATTTTTGGATGGAAGGATGGATGTTCGTTTGAAGGTATCTGCGGAACTGCTTAACGGATCTAGTTGAAACTTGACATAGATGTAAAATATAGTCTGGAAGAACACATAGTCAACTTATTAAGTTTTTATTATAATTCCGCTCGGACAGAGTCGCGGGCGACAGCTACTATCTTTGTAAATATTTCAGTAGTGACTTTTTTTTCGTAATGAATTTATTTATATCGCAGGTACACTTTTTCTGTGGATTTACTGGCCATCATTTAATTCTGGTTTAACGCACTCAAACGCTGAATATCAACGAGCGGTTATTAACACATATCTCTCTTTGGCTGCGGCGACCGTAAGTTGAAATGACATTAAAATTTGCATATTTTAACTTTGTTACGTATAATTTTTTACCTCGCTTCATGCATTGGACTATATATATTTATGTTTGTTTGAATACTATGCATTCCTAAAGTTCTGGACAAATTTAAATATAGACTTTGGACATCAGACAGCGATTTGTTCTAAACCAAAAATAAAAAAAAATTAACACGTTCAAGGAAAATTTTTGACATCAATGTTATATTATTTTGACTTTGATATTTAAAAGTTTACGAGGTTCAGTTAGTTACCTTAACTATATATTATATAATTGAAGAGAATCTGCTTTTTTGTAGGTGACAACATTTATTGTATCATCGTGTGTTAATGAAGAAGGAAAGTTGGATATGGTGCATGTTCAGAATTCAACACTGGCTGGTGGTGTCGCTGTCGGAGCAGTTTGTAACATGCACATTAGTTGTGGTGGAGCCATCGGTATAGGCGTCGGCGCTGGATTTATAAGTGTACTTGGATACTCATATCTAACGGTAAGCATCCAAATTATTATTACATTAAGTTACACCATTACGACTCAACGCGCAAGTAAACTCTGATTTATCGATCTTATCGGCAACGGTTTCAATTGATCATAAACTAAATATTGATGCTATTACCAAAAAGTAAAGTGTATTTAACAAACTAAAACCTTTAATTCATATCCTAAACCTACAATTAAATATTAAATTTACATGTGAGGGAAGTCCTTTGCTCCTTAAGTACAGGTCTTCCTTGTTAAGGAGCCAAGGCAACATTGAATTTTGATTTTTTTGTGTATGGCAGAATTTTTTTTTTCATTTTTCCCTTTATTTAACTTATAAAACCAAATATTTGTATTTTGTATTAGGCCCTTTACCTAAGCTTTTTAAAGCGTAGGTGGAAGCTATTCACTATTCCATTCAATGGTATGACTATTAATTTTTGTCTGTCCGTTTGTTACGGATAATTTCCGGAACGACTATCACGATTTAGACGGGACTCTTACGGGAAAGTAGGCACGCGGGCATATTATAGGCTTCTATTTCTTGCGCTAAAGAAGTCTAGGGCGACCGCTAGTTGTTACTAAAACTGGACAATAAATGACAAAACAGTTTATCGAATATCTTTGTATGTTATGTATAACTTATTTATTTTCCAGCCATCGCTTACTGAATCCAGTATCATAGATACTTGCGGTGTTCACAATCTACATGGAATGCCGGGCGTGTATTCAGGAATCCTTTCCATACTTTTTTCTTATTTGGCATCATCTGATGTTTACGGAGATGAATTAAGTGTTGTGTTCCCGGCTTTGTCAGTAAGTATCAATTGATATGGCAAAAGGTGTGCCAACTTGGAATTCTGGTTCCAAAAAATCATTATCTGCTAAAATTAAAAAAAAAAACATTGACTAATATATGATAAGCGCCATCTATTAATTGCAATTTTAAACAATAGATTTTTGTTTTTTTTTTAATTTAGTCTAAATAAACTCTTTTTTATGTAACAATTTTATTCAAGAATATATTATATGACAAGAAGACACAATATTTCGCACATAAATGACAAAAAAAACTTGTAACAAGTTAGATTCGAACTCATTTTTAACGAATCTATAATTTTAGACCCTACTTATAATTTTTTTTTTGTAGCAAGATAATATTGCCTATGTCCTTCGAGTAAGAAATACGAATCGTTAAAATCTGTTTAGGCTCTAAGTCGTAACAAAGGAACCTCTTGTCTGTCGGTTAATAATGTATTAATTATTTTTCAGGGTGGTGGTGGAAATGCCACTAACGGAACAGCAGCGCCCTCCAGCGACCAAGCGCTCGCGCAGTTTGAAGGATTGATCGCTACCTTAGTCATAGCGATCATTGGTGGAATAATAACAGGTAAATTTTAGCGCCAAGCACATTTTTTTTAATATGATATGATAAGGTGGCAAACGAGCGAGCGACTACCTGAATTCGCTGAAACAGCGAAGTGACCATTACCCATGGACATACTCTATTGCATATGCGTTGCCTACCTTTGATCGTCGGAGGAGAGGATGCACAGAAAGAAAATATTTTCCCTTTCCATGCATCCTCTCATCCGGAAAGTCCACTTCCACATCACATCCTTTCCTTATAAGAAAAAAGGTTGGGAAGGGAAAGAAGAGTAAATTAGGCCTTCGGAACGCACACTCATCAGACGAAACGCGGAATTGCTTCCACTTCACGCCTGTCTTCTGTGTGGTCGTGGCGAGCAGGGGCAATTCTTGGGAAGATGTTAAAGCGGGCTCTACCACTGTTAAGAATCTCTCTCTCTGAAAAACGAAATGTATATTTAAATGTCTCATTCGTTATGTTTCAGGTGCTTTATCTAAAATTGCGATATTTGTCCCTTTAAAAGAACCCGAAAAATACAACGACGCAGTTGATTGGGAACTCCCTAAGTGAGATTATAAAATAACTAATAATTGTAAATAGTAAGTTTGTTTTTGTAAAATTATGTCCTTTGAATTGTAATCTGCGTGTTTGTAAGTTGAAAAGTGCTGAATATATAACAGGTAGTCCTTGCACTTGTGACAATTTAGCAAAAATGTATTTACAATTGTTTCGATTTTTTTTTTGAAAAAGAATCTTGATATTTATTGTAACAGCGTGAAGTGTTTCATAGTATGTAAAAATTGTTTTATGTTTTAAATACAGTAATATTATTGATCATTGGTTTTTTTTTTTATATCATAAGGTGGCAAACGAGCGAGCGGCCACCTGAAATCGCTGAAATTGCGAAGGGACCGTTGCCCGTAGGCATACGCAATTGCATATGCGTTGCCTACCTTTAATCGACGGAGGAGAGGATGAACAGAAAGAAAATATATTCCCTTTCCATGCATCCTCTCATCTGGAAAGTCCACTTCCACTTCCCATCCTTTCCTTATAAGAAAAAGGGTGGGAAGGGAAAGAGGACTAAATTAGGCCTCCGGGACGCACACTCATCAGACTAAACGCGGAATTGCTTCCACTGCACGCCTGTCTTCTGTGTGGTCGTAGTATTTCACCGGGCGAACCGGGCCGATTCGTGCGAAGATGTTAAAGCGGGCTCTACCACTGTTAAATAGTACGGGCTCTACCACTGGTTTATTATTTATCATTCCTACGTACAAATTTATGTACAATAAATATTCCTGTTTCAATTCGCACAAACTGGGCATTTAAAATACCAAAATAAAATGTACATATTTCCAAAAACGGATTTCACATTCAGAACATTACACTTCAATTTTTGCTTGGTAGTACCACCTGGGACTTTGGCAAACGTTAACGATTAATGTATTTTCAACTCTATTTTGTTTAGCAATAAGGTTTATAGTTTCATAGCTATTAGTGGTCATTTTTCACAGCACGTCAAGAAGAATAAAAGTAACGGTACACAGCCGGAAATATATCGATAACGTTGTTTGTCCGTTGGAAATAGAAACAGACGTAAACATAAGCTGTTTCAGTATTTGTATTTATTTAATGTTTAATGGAAGGATATACTGTAAAATATGCCCTTGCTGAATTTATTTTCGAATAAACTTTATTTTTAGTACGTCTCTAGTTCAAATTGGAATTGAGTATTCAATTTACTTTTTGTAAAGTAAGAGGTTTGTAAAGAGGCTCAACAACTCTACTGTTAAAATATACTTACTAATATTATAAATGCGAATGTTTGGATGTATGTTTGAATGTATCTCCGGAACGGCTGCATTGATCTCGCTGAAATTTGCCATGGAAGTAGAACATAGTCTGGAAAAACACATAGGCTACTTATTTAGTTTATTTTTAATTCCTCTTGGATAGAGTCAGGGGCGATAGCTAGTAGCGTATGAATAACTATTAAATATTAACATTAATAGCATATTTTAATGTCTTTTAGTAATGGTTAGAAAAAAAACAATAAACCTCACGCCCTTAACCCAGAGAGGTAAGCAGAGACCACGGATTTCCGGCTGGTGATACGGCACACCCCTCGCGTCTCCTCCTCCTTCATACCTCTGCTCGTACAAAACGTTATAATTCTTTTACACATTCCAAAGAAGTACAAGAAAAATCTCTACTTCATTAATTATTCAAAAGGAAGCATATTAAATATTAATTAATTTCAGCCTCATTTTGTTTCTAATCTGGAGTTTTAATTTGTTAAATAATTCCTGCTTCATAAACAGAGGGTGCTATTCCTCATTTCCTCTCATAACTTCCACCTTTCTTGATTAAATTTGTTACGGTGGAAAAGGTAACATTTTAATAGGAAGCACGAATAATTTGGATAATTTTTATTTATCGATTTGTTCGTATAATCCTTGCGTTTTTAAAATACGCAGGTAAAGGCCTAGTTAAATTGTATATTAAATCAAATATTCATAAAATTAACTTTGAACGAAGATGTTTTCCACGACAGATAATCTTCTTACTATCTTTCTAATATTATAAATAAATGTGAATTTTTACATGGATGAGTGGATGTATTTCTATTGAAAGATATCTCTAGAACGCTTCAACTTATCTCGCTGAAAGTTGACACAGATGCAGAACATAATCTGGAAGAACACATAGCCTACTAATTACGTTTTTTTTTAAATAACGCACGGATAAAGTCGCAGGCGACAGCTAGTACGTATAGCCTAAATATTTTGTAAAGAAATATTTTTTATGTAAACAGGTGAAATCGAATAGCAGATCATATTGCAAAAATTAACAAACGGTCCCATGTTTTTGTTTAAAATAACAAACATTTTTGCCTAATCATTAGTGCAGTTTCATAAAATCTATGAAATAAAAGACTGTAGTGTAATAACCGTGGGTTACTGTAACCAAAATCCTCGTTCAAAACATATTGATATCTCTGTTTTGTCAAAGATAACGAAAGGAATGACGATATTTTTTATACAGCGGATTTGGTCTCAAAAACCCACGGTAAGTGGTCGATAATATCGCTCTTTAACTATGTTTACACTTAAAACTGTACCTTTAGTATTGGTACAAGATTATCAGCGGCTTAATTAAGATCCATAGTAACCCGCGGGGAGTAATCAGGTAGCCTTTCACAGACAACAGTTGATTTATGGGTCAAGGGAAATTCCTTAAATATACGAAGATATAGTGCGACTCATCTTCCATAGTAACCTTGAGTTTCTGAGACCAATATCTCCGTTTAAAATATACTGTAATCTCCGTTTTTTCAAACATAGGTATGAAGTTTTATACAGAGACTAGCTGTCGCCTGCGACTCCGTGCGCGTGTTTGTCTAAAAAATAAAAAAAATTGGGGTGGATACCCTTAACATTTAGGGGGATGAAAAATAGATGATTCAGATTTTCTCAATATGCTCACAAAATTACATGAGAATCAGTTAAGCCGTTTCTGAGGAGTATGGGAATGAAAATTGTGACACGAGAATTTTATACAGTGCAACCTCAATATAACGAATCGGAGGGAAACAAGTAAATATTCGTTATATCGAGTAATTCGTTAAACTGAGGTTCGTTATGTTAAGGTTAGGATGGTCTAAAATTCGTTATAAAGAGGTAAAAAAATAGTTTTATTCACCTCAACATTACGTACGCATCTTGTTATAGCGAACAACTTCTACTAATAAATGATAACTCTTTTTTATCAAATTACTGTATGTGTTTTCTATTTAAAAACAATTAGGCAAGTAACAAATTTTTTTTGTAGGTTTCTGAGCCATTTTAACTTAAATCTTTGACAATTGTGACGAGAATAAGTGTTAACATTACTTTCCATCAAACAACAATGATTGATTTACGAACAAAAGCGTGTCGAAGATTGATTTACAAACAAAAGCGTGTCGAAACATGTCGCAACATGAATCACATATTATGAGATTAAAAGTCATACATTAGTGACACTGCAACTTTATATAGAGGTTTTGGGTTGACAAAATTCGTTAAATAGAGGTATTTATACTTTTTCTCGGTGGTTGAAAATTCGTTATAAAGAGGTTGTTCGCAAAAAATGTTCGCAATGTAGAGGTATATTTTATATTGACTCTTATGGACAATTCAAGGGGATTACGAAAAATTTGTTAAATCGAGGAAGTCGTTATATCGAGGTACGTTATATTGAGGTTGCACTGTATATAAGATTTTAATCTCAGAAATCCACAGTCAGAGAAACGCTGTTAGCCCGGTTAGTACAGTCAGACTATTAAATATCTCACAAGTTTTGAAACTCCTTCATGTTTACACCAACTTATTAGCTGTTGTTGTTATATTTATACTTATGCCTTTAAATTTTGTAGTAAAATTAAAAAAAAAAACAACCTACTACAGCTTTTGTTTCATTGTTCTAGAGCTGATAATAAATAAGTGAAAAGGGCAGGAGGGGCAAGTCTCCGTGAAGATTAGTTTATCTCCGAAACATTCACGGAGTACAAATGAAACATTTCGCCTTCCAAAAAGTCCATTAAATATTTTATTCAAACTGAAATTTAAGAAAGTAGATGTAAATTATCTTTTTGTGCTTTGAATTCACAACGATAAGCCCAAAATTATTTATAAATTACCCCGGAAAAGGAACTTGCAGAACCGATCTCTAATAAATTGAAGCTCCTACTTATCTTACGGTAATAGGTTCGAATCCGCCATTCGAATATTGACAATATTCTAAAAACTTTTAGATTATTCAGAACACTACTTCATATGGCACTAATATAATCCTTAAATAAATATAAGTATAAGATTCGTCTCGTAAAAGCCGATAAGGGAATTTGGTTTGGTTTATCCTGAGGAAAATATTCAAAGTATAAGGAAGGTTGTGGTTCCTTATCGGATAATAATACACTAGCTCTTTTAAGTTAAGGAAATGTGTAACGGCTAATCCAAGAAACTATCCTTAGAAACAATGCGAGGATTTATTATTGCTTACTATAGCAGGAAGAATAAATTAGTTTGATCGCTCTTTGAACGATAGATCGGGTTTCACAATTTTCATTGTTATTTTGATACTTCAATCGGATTAATTTTGCGCCTATCGTAAATGGCAACGGTTTTTAAACTACTCTCAGATGCAAGGAAACTCTAAAAACACAACAAAAAAAAATATTTACTTGACCTTCTTACTGCTATTTGTGATTAATAAAATATTTTAATTTCTCTGTGATCATATTAATAGCACACAAAGTGACATATTTTAGATTCCTCTGGCATAAACAGAATTAGCATAAATCCTTTGGCAGTTCTATCGAGACGAGAGTCGCGTGGGCATGCGGAATCGCTTTCGCCGCGAGGTCGGCACGTGACTTGTAATATTACGACCCCATGAATCAAACAATGACGCCTCAGCTTCTTATATAATTTATTACCTTCATAAGCTTTTATTTACCAACAAATTATTATTATTTAAATGTTGTACCATCTTCTTTTTTCATTGTAATTTGATATGACCATAAAGATCGCCAGTCTACATGGTCACAGAGTAGACATGATGTAGAGGCTACACAATACTACTGTCTTTTTGAGGCATTTTTTAAGAACTTTTGCTTTGCATTTATCTTAATGATTTGTTTATATTTATTTATTCTGTGAATTACATGTCAGCTGATATTAGTAATAATTTTCAAGGACTTACACAGTATTATTATAATACAGGGTAATATAATACTTACATAAACGTTTGTTTGAAATCAACGGTAGTCGCGACAAGTTGAAAGATTGT